ATGTTACTGTGGGTCCTGTTTAATAGGTGGTGAGATGTTCCACCTTGAAAGTAACTTTAGGGAAAACTGACTAAAGAGCATATTAATGAACAAAGATCCAAAAGAGGAATGTTGGTAGGACGACCTAGATCTTATACCTACATCAATTCCCTTTAATGTTCAGAAGCTGTTGGTAAGTAAAGGCTTGGTGATAGACTTCGGAAGAATCCGCCATTGAAAATTCAGTGGAGCACAGCTCAACTCTGACACACAGGGAGTTGTCATGAGTCAAAAACAACTCACCAGCAACTTTGTTTTTAAATTCAGAGAGAGTTGAAATTTTCTGTCATTATTTATTGTGAATGATTTTGTTTTAAATTCATTTTTAAATGAGATGTCCTGAATGGTTGTCTTTCTTCAAAGAGAGGCATTTGCAGTTCTTTCTACACTTGAGGGACAGCATGACATAGAATGGGTATGGACAGATGCCTCAGTATTAAATCTCTGTTAGGAATTATTTCAGCATTGGCCAACTATTCTAATGATGAGAGAAAAATTAGAGAATATCGTGCCATGAGAGATTATATTCATACTGGTGTAAGACTTGAATTTTCAATTGGCCTGATTCCATTATGTTGGAAATTTCTTTTGCACATAAATATGGATAAATGGAAAGATTGAAATGTTAACATAATGAAAAGCATTCACTGAGTGAGGCAAAGCCAACAGCTAAGAAGCTAAAAGCCACTGGGCTGGCTCAGGTGAAGACTGTGCAGATGCTGCTGGTGCTTTGAGACTTGGGATGATAAGTGTTGTGTGAGGTAGAATTCAGTGAAGGCCTACATCATAAACAGGTGATTCTACATGGAAATCTGCACATAAAAAAAATCTTTTGGCTCCTCTTTGAAGTTACTGCTTAAGCCTATAAAGGCCCATTTTTTTTTTTTTTTGGAACCTCGAAAAGAGAAACAGATAAATAGCAGGAGGAATATTATCTAATAAATAAATTAATGTTCTTTTTAGAAGATGAGAAAATAAGCTTGTGCTGGTAGGCTTCTGCATCAAGATATAAGTTAGATGACACCATTCCAGTGAAATGTGATAATGAATTTCTAATTACAATAATTATATCCTCATTACCCACCTC